TCCCAAGGCCGACGGCCTGCTTCAATGTATCGGCCCTGCTTTGTGTGTATATGCCCAGGCACAACTTTCGTGGCCTGGGCCAACTGTACGACGCAGCTTAGTGAGGCTCGCGCGTTCACTCAACCAACTGACGCGCTGCGAGAGCCTGAATACCCACGTATGGAAATGTCGAATTTTGGCCTGTGACGAATATTCAGGCCCGCCTTCACTTAGGGCGGGCACTTGGCTTGCAGGGGCCTTAGCCCAGAACATGCAATGTCTGACAGGGCCCCTTGAGGGCTCATTCCTCACATTCCATCCCCCTTAGCTTCGAAAGTCCGCTGAGATGCTTCATGCTGGAGCCTTCCCCTTTAGTCTCTTCTCATAGTCTGCCACGATCTGAGGAGCTGTCTTAATAAGGTCCTCCCTTGAAATCCATCGATCTTCCTTCGGATCCGTATGATGCCTGAAATGAACTCTGTACTCCCTTGCAGGTTTTGGAGGTCTTCCCCTGCCAGTTGTCTTGGGAACAGGCGTATTTCTGTGATCCAAAATATCGTCGACGTCCACGTGGCCATCCATGGTTGGGGGCTAGATCTCCGTGATGGGAACTGTGCTGTCTCAGCAAAAGGTGCTAGCTTTGAGGCGTGAAAAACAGGGTAAGTGCGTAGGTGACCAGGGATGCGAATGACGTACGAGGGACCATCCAAATCATTCCCCACAATGTCGAAGACTTCCCAGGGACCGAAATACTGAGGCATTAGTTTCCTAGAGATGCCAAACTCCTGTCCCAACTCACTAGCCTTGACCCAGACACGTTCCCCTACCTGAAATGTGGACTGTCGGCGACGCTTGTTCTCAGAAGCAATCATGACTTCTTGAGATTTCTTGATGTGTTCGACAGTCTGCTGCAACAGTTTCTCATACTGGACACCAAATTCAATGGTTCCAGGACTTGCAACAGTTCGGTTTTCAGGCAGGAGGAAGTCTAGAGCAGATCTAGCCTTCCACCCTAGATGCAGTTGGTTAGGACTGACGTCGGTGGTGCTGTGTACAACGTTGTTGTACAGGCTGGTGATGAGAGGTAATTTCTCATCCCAGTCATCCTGGTTGGGCTTGATGTAATGCCTCAGCAGATGCTGCACCACTCGGTTCATCTGTTCCGCCTGCCCATTTGCTTCGGGATGATTCCCATAAGTCATCTGAAGCTGGCTGCCCATCTGTTCAGCGACCTTCTTCCACATCTCGCTTGTGAATCTCACATCTCTGTCACTAACGATCGTCTTTGGAAGTCCAAAGTCACGCACCCAGTTGTCCATGAACAACTTGATGACGTGCTCAGTCATGGCTGTCTCTGGCATGACGATTAGTCTAGCGTACTTAGTGAACCTATCCACTATGACGAAGATGTGTCTCTTGCCATTCTTGCTGGTCACAAGAGTATCCATGAAGTCCATGGAGATACTCTGCCCTGGGCCAGCAGGAATGGGTAGAGGCTTGAGTAATCCAAGCGGAGCTTGAGTTCGCGGTTTGTCCCGCTGACAGACCTGACAGGTCTCCCCGCACTTCTTCACATCGCCAAGCATGTTAGGCCACCAAAATCGCTGCACTAAATTAACACTAGTCTTCTTGTTGCCAAAATGTCCCGTTGCGTCGTGACACTTTCCTAAAAATAAACTACGCAAAATTTCCCTAGATGGAACAACTAACCTTTTAAACTCTGCCTTCTCCAGAAAGAGCAACCCATCCACCATCACAAACTCATCAGTGGTGGCCTTGTCTTTAGCCTGTAGTTTGTTGATGATGTTCATCGTGATGGGATGTTCCTTGTAGGCTTCCCCCAACGATTGAGTCACATCCTCAGACAAACCAAACTCAGAAATTAGAGCACCTAGGTAATCTGCCCTCCTAGACAACGCATCTGCAACCTTGTTTTACTCTCCCTTCACATAGTGTAGTTTGAAGTCGTATTGATCTGTAACTTCAATCCTGCGTTTGAGTGCATCAGAGAGAGCTGGTCGAGTCTTGGTCCACTTGAGGGTTTGATGGCCAGTTCTCAAGTAAAAAAAACTCCCTAACAGATAGTACCTCCAGTGGACAAGTGCCTTGTAAAGAGCGTAGAGTTCCCTCTCGTAGGTGGACTTTGCCAACTTCTTTGATGGCATCTTTTTGCTCATGTACTCAATCGGTCTCAACTTTTTCCCTTCCTGCTGAGCCAGCACTGCGCCAATCCCATATTGGCTTGTGTCAGTGGTTACAACAAATGACCTTTGCGGGTCGGGTACCATGAGAACCTCATGATGTGAGAGAGCATGCTTCAAACGCTTGAAAGTTGCCTCACACTCGTCGGTCCAGTCCCATGGTGTGTCAAGTCGAGTTAGATCAGTCAAGGGAGATGCGATCGTACTATAATTCTTTACGAAATTGCGGTAATAACCACACATTCCCAAGAATGATCTGACCTCAGTCACAGACTGGGGTCGTGGCTAGTCACGTATGCTAGCCACCTTTGCATCTTCGGGCCTAATCCCATCCGCGGATACTTTATGACCCAAGTACAAGATTCGAGTGCGACCAAACTCGCATTTCTTTATGTTTATCTTATACTTGTGCTGTCGAAGGAGTGAAAGTATTGTGTCTACATGCTGAGCATGCTCCTCGACAGATCTACTAAAAATAAGTATGTCGTCGAGGTACACGACAACAAACTTATCCAAGTAGTCATGGAAGATCCTATTCATGGCGTGCTGGAATGTACCCGGCGCATCGCAAAGGCCAAAGGGCATCACCACAAACTCGTACAGACTGTACCTGGTCTGAAATGCGGTTTTGTGTTGGTCCTCTGGTCTTATGGCAATCTGATGGTAGCCGAATTTTAAGTTTATCTTGGTATAGTACTTACACCCCTGCACCCTATCCAATAGGTCGTCGATGCGTGGTAGAGGCTCTGCGTTCTTAACGGTGATGGCATTGAGGCCTCTATAATCAATGCACATCCTTAGTGTTCCCCCTTTCTTTGGAACAAACAATACTGGTGAGCCAAAGGGGGAAGTGCTAGGCCGTATCCAACCCTTTTTTGTGAGCTCTTTCAGTTGCTGACGAAGCTCGTCCAACTCGGTCGGAGCCATCCTATAGATTATCCCTTTAGGTGTCTTGCTACCTGGGATGATCTCTATGGCATGGACAACCTCCCTGTCTACGACTCCTGAGGGCTCCTCAAACAAATCAGGGTACTTAGCGACAATGGTCTCTATCTCTGGGGGTCTTTTGCAGAGACATAGACTAAGTACATTCCTTCCTCTTGGTTCTGTTTATAATAATTATAGAAGGTTGACGCGCATAAGCACCCGTAGGAGTCGATTAACCTACTAGCTTTGTACTTAGCCAGTCTAACGGTTCTCCCACTAGGTAACTCGTGCTTCAACACCTTCTTGTCCCAGTCAAACTGGGGCTTGGCAACCTCGAGGTAGTACATGCCCAACAACATGTCAAAGGGCAACTCGTCGCTCACCAGGAATGATATCTTATGGTTTAGCTCTCCTCCTAGGTAGGAGAAGGTGTAGACTACATCTTTAACGGTGTCCTCCACCGTCAT